AGACCCTAAATTTTAGCCAGTTTTCAGTGATAATATGATCATTCAGCTTATAAAAATAATCTTAAGTTAAACCATAGTGGTACTTTATTCTTGGGCTATGACCCTCTATTTCTTTGAAAGATCAGAAAAGTACCATGTTACCAAAATAATCTTTTGGAAATAAAGTTCAACTGATTCACTGCTGACATAATGATCCTTTGGCACACTGGTGAAAACTACCTTTAGGAAGCCAGTATTTTAATATTTCAAGGTATCAAACCAAAGAAACTCCCTGAAAAAGCACAAATGACAACACACCATGATCTTAGTACATTTGTCACTTAGAAAAGCTATCAAGTATTTTATTATTTTATTCTACATTATATACAGGTCATAAAAGGCCACAGCAGTTTTTCAACATATAAACCCTTTAAAAGTAGAGGGCACTATGAAGGATAGACAAGTATCAAAATGAAGTCCAGTAATGAGGGCATATACTCAGTGCAGTATTTCTGAGGAATAACAAAGCAGATACCAAGTCATCCATATTCAGTTTGCAACTATTCCATAGGTTTTTATGAACCTCTCTGAGATGTGTTAACAGCCTACGTGTGCCAAGTTGCCACTTATTAAAAACAGTGAAACCAGAATGAAAGAATAATGAACTTAGAGGGTACTCTTCCTAATTCTAGTCAAGCTTTCCAAGAAGGAAAGCCTCAATTCTCCACTTCTTCCTGCCATTAAAGATAAGAAAAAAAGAAATGGAAAAGCTCAATATTCCAATTTTTCCTGGTCATTTGGAGCTTTCCTTTTCTGTATGTGTTTCTTCAAAGCATACTTCAGGCCTTTTAAAAATTAGCTTCAAATTCCTAAACACATAATATTGCACCCTCCTTGGATAATAACTTAAAAACATTGGTTTCCACTCTGTGAAAATACAATCTTTAAACCTATAACTGGTATCAGCAGATCAATATAAAAAATACAGTACCAAGCTACACTGGTATATTTCCATATTAAGAACTTCAAAATATACTTATCACTGAGACCATAGTCCTTGCATTAGTTTTCAGTCCACTATGAACAATTATCTGCTGCATGTAAACATGTCTAAATAACTATAGATAAAATACATCAATCATAAATTTCTGTAAAAGATAATAAAATATCTTCTTTAAAAAACAAAACAATAATAAGCTATTACTGCATTGTTTCCAATTTTATGAAAATGGAACAACCATATGGTTGTTGCCAGTCCTGAGTTCATTGTAACAAAAATGGCCCTAGTTCCTGGTTAAAGTCAGCAACCAATCCATTCTCTTCAACAGATGTCTTCTAGTACTGTAGGCAAGAATTTGTTTTAGGTGCTATTCTGTCCATTAATAAAATTATATACCAGAAACTGACCAGTGCCACAGTACTGTGTCGCAAACAGTTTTCCATCAGGAGTAGGATCTGAGAAAGCAATTTCTTCTTTACTCAAATATGAGCCATATATAAAGTTACTCCTATTAAAAAAAAAGGGAGGGAGAGTGTGGAAGGTTAAAAAAAATTAGTATTATTTCTAATCATTAAAAACTGGAATAATCTGTCAAATATAATTTCTCTAGAAAGACTTTTTAGGTAATGTATATGTTCGAATTTGTTGAAAATAACTGTTCAACTAAAATATTATCAATAATGTGAGGTTAAAACTTTTTAATAGAAGCAACAATATAAAAACAGTTACCCAGCATCATTTCCTCATAAAAACACTCAACAACTAAGAATAGTAAGAACTTCCTCAACCTGCCCAAGGGCATCAAGGAACTTCAGAGTTAATGGTGAAAGACTGAAAACTATTCCTCAAAATCAGGAACGAGATAAAGCTGCTCTTGCTTCTTCTATTCAATACTATACTGGAGGTTCTAACCAAAACAATTACATGAGGAAAAGAAATAAAAAGCATCCAGGTTGGAAAGAAAGAAGTAAAACTATCTATTTTACAGATGACATGACATTGTACATAGAAAATCCTAAGGAATTCACAACAAAACCTATAAGATCTAATAAATGAGTCTGACAAGGTTGCATATTCAAGAGTGATATTCAAAAATCAATTGTTTTTCTACACATTTGTAATGAACAATCCAGAAATGAAATTTAGAAAAAATTTCATTTGCAGTAACATTAAAAAATAAAATACTCGGGCATAAATTTAACAAAAGTAGTACAAGACTTGTAAACGGAAAACTATAAAAACATTGTTGTAAGAAATTAAAGACCTAGGCCGGGCGTGGTGGCTCATGCCTGTAATCCTAGCTCTCTGGGAGGCCGAGGCGGGC